GAAAGGGGGTGAAGACCAAAAAAGGGGGAAGGGGGAAAGAGAAAAAGAGGAAGGAAGGAGGAGAAAGGTGAGAAAAAAAGGCAAAAAAGGGGGGAAAGGGGCAAAAAAGCAGGGAAAAGGGAGAAAAAAGCAAAAAGGAAGGGAAGAAACGGAGAAAAGAGCAAAAAAGATGGGGAAGGGGCAAAAAGAGAGGAAAAAGCGGGGGGGGGGGGGGGAAAAGGGGGGCGGGGAAAGGGAGTTCTAAATATTCAAAAAAAGGCGAGGAAAGGGAGTTCTAAATATTCTGCAATGATTTAACTCTGCAAAGAAAAGCCCACTCTGCACACAGGTAGCTGCTAGGCTCAAACTGCTGCCAGTGTTGCTGTATCCTCCACCTGCACTGTTCATCACCCTTTCACTAGTGGCCATCAGTGAGTCCCTTCGCTTTTTGGAAGGGGTTTGCCAGCCATCAGAACTTGCTGGCCTGTTAAAAAAGTTGATGTGATGAAGCTCATAGCCTCAAATGATTGCTCTGAACATAGGGATGACCAGCCATGGACATGCTTGAGCCTCATGCAAAGCCTCAGTGAAAGGCCTTGGCTCTGAATACCTTTTGCATACTGAGTGACATGTCCATTTCACCTTACATATACTATGTATTTGGAAGTACATACATGGTGCACAAGACACAGCTCTTTGAAAACAGTAGGTAGGAAGTAAGGTAGTTCTTCTCCAAGGTCCTATGACATTGCCACTCTCTTCCATGCAAAGATCTCACTGCTACCCAGTGCCAGCAATACTTGCTCATGCAAAGACTTCCCTCTGAAGTCATCTCAATCTACCCTGGCTTTACTAGGTATAGTACTCCTTAGCAGTCGCAATCATTTGTTGGTTTTTTTTCCATGTGCATGTAATTGCTTTGTCAACTTGATTCCAGCATAAAATAGGGCCTGAAAACGTATGCCCAGAAGACAGGCATAATTTAAAACTACAGTGAGGTCTTAGGCTAGAAATGCTCACTGGCCTCAGCTAATGAGTGTCACTCAACGCTGACAGCTTTGTAAAGACACAAGTTTTTCTCTGTCATTCATCATGGAGATGTGATTGCAGTGTCACTGCCCAGCAAGTTTTTGCTGCAACCCATGGATTTATGCCTACATCTGGTTATTTTCAAAGGGCTATACATCAAGGAAAGAGGGAACTCCAAGCTGAGCCTGCAGAATGGCTAATTTCCAGCACGTTGTTCAGCCCCTCCAACCCATTTCCCGCTGTGGTGTCAGGTCAGGATAATTAATCTTGATTACAATGTCAGCAAGAAGGGAAAACAGATTTCTGCTTTAACTGCTTATCTCTATAACCCAAACACTTGGCTTAGAAGGGAAGGGATGGAGCAAAATGAGGCACAAAGGCAAGAGCAGCAGAGCCTGTGAAACTGTGGCCACAGGTTTAGATCCTCCTGCATGACTTGCCTGTTTTTTTTCCAGATATAACTGTCTTACCTAATAATCAACGCCATTTTACTTGTGCTTCCCTTTATTCCCTTTGTTTCTATCACAGCAACTTATTCTTCCCCCTTCCACTCTTGCAGCAGACTGACTCTGGTTTGGGGAATGAAGCTGTGAAGGTCTGTCACTCCACAAGCATCTTTGCAGTGTCCCTATGGTTACTTCATGAAAGCAAGCACAGCTTATTCTAGATACCTTCTTTAACAAGTTTTGGATTTGACAATTAAATACAAAGTGAGTAACGTTTACAGCTACACTATATGCAGCAAATCTGAAGGACAAATCTATCACTTCCTCTTCAATTTTACTAATGCACACGCAAGGTAGCCATTTAGCATAATACTTCCAACCTGCTTTTGAGTATTTTAAACAGAAAACTGAGATGACGTTCCAAGAACTAACGAAAGCTTAACTAGCAAAAGAGGCACAGAAGACAGAAACTCTTT